TCTGTGGTCTGCCGGCAGCAAACCTCTCGCAGCCTGTTTTTGATTCTCATCTTGCAAGCGGTAGCGCAAAAAAGGATTACAGAGGGCACAAAAGGTCTTTATCAGACCTCAACGGAGATTATTACATTAACAATATGAAGCTTCTTCTGGCACCTAGTGTGTGTAGCCAGCGCCGGTGTCAAGCTTGCCTCTCTAACCCAAACAATGGCTCAGGGGTCTCCAGCTATAGACCCGAGCGAGGCCTCGCTAGACCCGAAATAAGCAGCCATCTAGCGGTGACCTTGGAGAGTATGGCTCTTAGAAGGATGTTCCTCAAGTGATGGGATGTCTACGCCTCATGGGAGCGAAGAGTTCTTCAATTAAGGTGTCTATATACACTGAAGAACATCTCAAAGACTCTCACATACCTGGTGTCAGCCTCATAAATCCCTTATACTCCTTATACTGTTACAAGAAGTTCGCTAACAAATAACTCCTAATATCAAGAACGTAAATATTGTCATCTTCTTCTGTGGTTTGCTTTGTAAGGAAAACTTGATACAGTGCTTGGAGGTGTGTGTGATCAAGCAGACTCTGGCGCCTACGTCGAAGAGAGAGCAGCTGAATGTTATCCCAGAGCCACTTCAAGGAAGGACGGTTCAAGGATAGGCTCAAGGCCTATCCTTGGCCTCAAAAAGAGGCCAAGGATAGGCTTCTTCTCTCTGTATAATTGTAATTTCCCACGAGTCTCAGAGTACATTTGGAGGCTTGATGTTACCTGTTGTTACTGTCTGCACTCATTCATACTCTCTCCTCTCTCTCACCTCTCTCCCCCTCTCCCTCTCCATATCTCCCCTCTCCTCTCTCTCCCCCCCCCCACACTCCCCTCGCTGGTCACCAGGTGTAGTGAGGGGACCCACGTGTGTGTGTGTGTGCTCCAGGTAGCCGCTCACCTGCTGGCACTACCACCCGAGGGGCGCGCCACGCCAACACCAAAATACCCACGCCTCGCCCCTAAATATATGGCCTTATGTGGGGCTACCGGCGCTATTTATTGGGGGCGAGGGTGGGCGGCCCCCTGGCTGCTGAGGTGCGTAGGGGGGCGCTGTTCTTTGTTGTGTAGGGGCGCGTGTGTGTGTCCCTGGGGTAGTGTTAGGGTCGCCCCTATCACTGTGTACTGTTAGGGTCGTCCCTATCACTGTGTACTGTTAGGGTCGTCCCTATCACTGTGTACTGTTAGGGTCGTCCCTATCACTGTGTACTGTTAGGGTCGTCCCTATCACTGTGTACTGTTAGGGTCGTCCCTATCACTGTGTACTGTTAGGGTCGTCCCTATCACTGTGTACTGTTAGGGTACTGCCCCTATCACTGTGTACTGTTAGGGTACTGCCCATCACTGAGCTCTGCTCCTGCGGCACAGCTTTCATCTCTTGTCGTTACACTCTTGTGGCCTATTTATTTGCTTCCAAACTCAAGCTGAACACACTACGGGCTCGCCATAGCCCGTGCTATTTGGAACTTTTGTTCCCAGTAACTGACTCTAAAACAACAACAACATCAAGCTGAAACTCTGCCAGTTCAAGAGACTGTCAACTGTTCTCTGGCAACATAACAGAATATAGTTCACCCAGACATACTTGTCAATCATCTGTTATTTCATCAATATTAACGGAGCGTTTGTTTGGGGCGCTGGTCTATAGTTCAGGTCCTTCCGCCCCGACCACAGCTTGTATACTGCTGTCAAGTTTGCCAGAAATAACATCACATGAGACCAGGAGGCATGGCAGGATGTGCAGAATACCCCCGTTGAAGAGCAGAGGTGCAACAGGTACTCTGAGAGAACTCTATCAACATCAGAGGCCCGAGACTGTTCAACACGCTTCCACTACACACAAGGGACATAACTGGCCGACCCCTCACAGTGTTCAAGAGAGAACATGATAAAACACCTCCATAGAATATGTGATCAACCAGGCTGTGATACATACGTCAGGCTGCGAGCAGCCGCGTCCAACAACCTGGTTAATCAGCCTAGCAACCAGGAGACCTAGTCGGAGACTGGGCCGCCTGGACGTTGATCCTCGGAACCATCGCAAGGTAACCGCAATGATCGCCTGTAGTATCCCATATTTTTAGAATTTTCTTTAAGAGAATCCTTGTGGGTTTCCTATGTAATCCAACAGTGTTTCAACAAGACCGCTTCTCTAACTGGCGAACAAGGGCAGCCCAGGTGAGACGAGAACTACAGGTAGCAGAGGACTGTAGAGTATTAGACTGGTTAAAGTGGTAAATGAGTATGAGTACCACAGTGGCTGACTGTTGAGAACTAGGGACAAGGGTAAGAACTGTATCACCCAGTTCTACAGTGACTGGGTGATACAGGCCCACACGACCACTACACCACCACATGTAAAAGCAGGGTACTTGGGGCTTAGACTTGGGAGTCTAAATATATCGACAGAGTGTGTGTGTAATGAAGACCACTCAGCCTCCGTAATATAAGGCGGCAAAATTATCCATCAAGTGCTTCCGGGTTTTGTTTCTACAGGGCACCATGTCCCATACTTGTGGTGGGCACTATGCCCCATACTTCTACTCACCAAGTTACCCTTCATTTATTGCCAGAACTTCGTAGAATATACATCTGTCGAGGTCCTCACACACACATCCTCATCTCAATATAAGTCTTCCCTTATCCATAGTGTATGTCCGTGTGTGTGTGTGTGTGTGTGTGTGTGTGTGTGTGTGTGTGTGTCCGTGTGTGTGTGTCCTCCCTGACCATCCGGCACTCAGTGTTCATGACAGCTTTAACCTCCGTGTCATGCACTCTCAGAGTTGCTTGTCCCCCCTTCTCTTAATCCTCGAACAATTGGCACTTCCCTTTGTCTCTCGACGCCTGTCCTGCCTCCATGGGCAGGCTGCTGCAGGTCTCACTTAACACAACCCCTACACCAGCCTGTACTCCGGTAGGCTGACAGTTGAGAGGCGGGACCAAAGAGCCGAAGCTCAACCCCCCCGCACTATCAACAGCTTCTCCGCTCTTCGGGGAGACGTTCGAGGTTGTGAGGTGGCTCATAAACCCAGATGATAAAGTTCCCAAAAACTGTAAACTAGATTTTTTTTAAGTTAGAATCTGGTTAACTTGAGTTAGGTTGGGGCCTCAAAAGCAACTATTTTGGGTTACAATTTCGAGCAGAATAAATTTTTTGTTTGGGTTAACTATGGAATTAATTTTGGAGTTGGATTTTCAATGTTTTGTTTAGTAACTCACAGGATGAGTGGCGCTGCCCAATACTGTCACTATGGCGGTGTGTCCACTCACAGGATGAGTGGCGCTGCCCAATACTGTCACTATGGCGGTGTGTCCATTCACAGGATGAGTGGCGCTACCCAATACTGTCACTATGGCGGTGTGTCCACTCACAGGATGAGTGGCGCTGCCCAATACTGTCACTATGGCGGTGTGTCCATTCACAGGATGAGTGGCGCTGCCCAATACTGTCACTATGGCGGTGTGTCCATTCACAGGATGAGTGGCGCTGCCCAATACTGTCACTATGGCGGTGTGTCCACTCACAGGATGAGTGGCGCTGCCCAATACTGTCACTATGGCGGTGTGTCCATTCACAGGATGAGTGGCGCTGCCCAATTCTGTCACTATGGCGGTGTGTCCACTCACAGGATGAGTGGCGCTGCCCAATACTGTCACTATGGCGGTGTGTCCACTCACAGGATGAGTGGCGCTACCCAATACTGTCACTATGGCGGTGTGTCCACTCACAGGATGAGTGACGCTGCCCAATACTGTCACTATGGTGGTGTGTCCACTCACAGGATGAGTGACGCTGCCCAATACTGTCACTATGGCGGTGTGTCCACTCACAGGATGAGTGGCGCTACCCAATACTCTCACTATGGCGGTGTGTCCACTCACAGGATGAGTGACGCTGCCCAATACTGTCACTATGGTGGTGTGTCCACTCACAGGATGAGTGGTGCTGACCAATACTGTCACTATGGCGGTGTATCTTTTGTGTAGAGCTATGTATATTTGGAACAGTTAGGTTATGTATACTAGGTCCACTACCGCCCACGAGATATGGGTATTGGGGTCCAGTATACTACCCTCGGGATGGGTATTGGGTTCACTACCCCCTTCGGGATGGGGTATTGGGTCCACTACCGCCCTCGGGATGGGTATGCGGGTCCAATATCCCCTACGGGATGGGTATTGGGTCCACTACCGCCCTACAGGATGGGTACTGGATCCAGAACCCCCTACAGGATGGGTATTGGGCCCAATACCGCCCACGGGATGAGTATTGGGTCCACTACAGACCACAGAATAGATATGAAGTGCATCCAAAGTTAGACAATTTAAAACCATCCTCTCAAGCCCGTTTCAAAGACCACGGATGACGGAAAGCCCTTCTACAAATGAGGCTGTTGATCTAGGGAGATTACTAGGGGCCCTGGTGACTAGGGGCCCTGGTGACTAGGGGCCCTGGTGACTAGGGGCCCTGGTGACTAGGGGCCGTAGTGACATCGCCAGGGTCAAGGGGGAGCGACCAGGTCACCTCAGCTTTCGATCTATTCTCACTCGCCCTCGGGTCCTTGTTGACAAGGGCTAGAACCAATTATTGAGGACTATCCTTACCGCTTGCCCTGTGCACTCGGTATCCCTGCCGCTACCAGCTGGGTGGTACCCCTGCCAGGTCTACCCTGCCACTACCAGCTGGGTGGTACCCCTGCCAGGTCTACCCTGCCTCTACCAGCTGGGTGGTACCCCTGCCAGGTCTACCCTGCCACTACCAGCTGTGTGGTACCCCTGCCAGGTCTACCCTGCCTCTACCAGCTGGGTGGTACCCCTGCCAGGTCTACCCTGCCACTACCAGCTGGGTGGTACCCCTGCCAGGTCTACCCTGCCACTACCAGCTGGGTGGTACCCCTGCCAGGTCTACCCTGCCACTACCAGCTGTGTGGTACCCCTGCCACTACCAGCTTGGTGGTACCCCTGCCAGGTCATACCCTGCCACTCCACCAACACAACAAGAGCCCCCGCCAACAAGAGACCCCCGCCAACAAGAGCCCCCTGCCAACAAGAGACCCTGCCAACAAGAGCCCCCTGCCAACAAGAGACCCCCGCCAACAAGACCCCCCCGCCAACAAGAGCCCCCTGCCAACAAGAACCCCTGCCAACAAGAGTCCCTGCCAACAAGAGACCCCCGCCAACAAGAGCCCCCGCCAACAAGAACCCCTGCCAACAAGAGCCCCCGCCAACAAGAGCCCCCGCCAACAAGAGCCCCCGCCAACAAGAGCCCCCGCCAACAAGAGACCCCCGCCAACAAGAGTCCCCGCCAACAAGAGACCCCAACAAGAGTCCCCGCCAACAAGAGTCCCCGCCAACAAGAGACCCCCGCCAACAAGAGCCCCCGCCAACAAGAGCCCCCGCCAACAAGAGCCCCCGCCAACAAGAGACCCCCGCCAACAAGAGTCCCCGCCAACAAGAGACCCCCGCCAACAAGAGCCCCGCCAACAAGAGCCCCCCGCCAACAAGAGCCCCCGCCAACAAGAGCCCCCCTCCAACAAGAGACCCCGCCAACAAGACCCCCCCGCCAACAAGAGCCCCCCGCCAACAAGAGCCCCCGCCAACAAGAGCCCCCCGCCAACAAGAGCCCCCCGCCAACAAGAGTCCCCCGCCAACAAGAGTCCCCCGCCAACAAGAGTCCCCCGCCAACAAGAGTCCCCCGCCAACAAGAGTCCCCCGCCAACAAGAGTCCCCCGCCAACAAGAGCCCCCGCCAACAAGAGCCCCCGCCAACAAGAGCCTTCTGGTATGAACTAGCTGATCGATAGATTACATCATGACGTCACCGATGACGTCACAGGGGCAGGCTTTCTGTGGGGGGGGAGGGTGAGAGTCGCAATTAGCACTCTCCTAATTGTAATTAAATAGTTGTCCTTGCTGGGGTTGAGCTTCAGCTCTTTGCTTCCGCCTCTCATCCTTCAAATAAAGATAATAGATAACCTGAGTGGCAGAGACAGTGGACGAGAATGACAGCATTCAAGGCTTTATCCTAGCCAAAACGGTTCCACAGCTGCTTCAGGAGGAAGATGACTGTGAATAAGTAATCAGACTTAACAAGAGAGAGGACACACACAGAGAATGATAAAAAGATGTGTGAGGAACTTAACAAAGTCCAGGAAGTATTTAAGTTGGAACCTAAGGGAGCCAGCCGGTCGGCCGAGCGGACAGCACGCTGGACTTGTGATCCTGTGGTCCTGGGTTCGATCCTAGGCGCCGGCGAGAAACAATGGGCAGAGTTTCTTTCACCCTATGCCCGCCTGTTACCTAGCAGTAAAATAGGTACCTGGGTGTTAGTCAGCTGTCACGGGCTGCTTCCTGGGGGTGGAGGCCTGGTCGAGGACCGGGCCGCGGGGACACTAAAGCCCCGAAATCATCTCAAGATAACCTCAAGATAGCCACTTGTCCCCAAAATCGAATTGGAAGTTCCATAGAAAAGCCTCACTGAAATGACAGAGAAAACTGAAGAAAACAAATGAAAGGATATTGAAAGAAAGACCAACGAACAACAGAAAGAATAAAGAACTAAAGAAACATCTATATGAACTGTGTCTAGAATTAGAAAATAAAGCAAATGAAGCAACGTGTAGTATTTACTATTTAATTATTCTCTCTATATTGGAGAACTACCTGACTGGTGGAAAAGGGTTACCATGAGACTGGTGCATAACAGACTAGTGGATCATGTAGAACAGTTCAACTCCAAACAGTAACGATGATTCCGAGTAACTGTGAAGCATGGTAACCATGAGAGAGTAGTTGTGATACACAGTAAGCATGGTAGAGTAACCTAACCTAACCTAACCGAGGAAACTGAACGCGACTCAGGTTATCTTGAGATGATTTCGGGGCTTAAGTGTCCCCGCGGCCCGGTCCTCGACCAGGCCTCCACCCCCCGGGAAGCAGCCCGTAACAGCTGACTAACTCCCAGGTACCTATTTACTGCTGAAAGAAAATGGAAGTTCAAATCCTTCATATTAAACACCATTTATGTACTGGCAATCAAACCCAGTAATTAAAAGCGGCGATGAGAGGGATTGGAAGGCTTATCCTGTGGCAAAGGAAGGATTAGATGCCATTAGCCCCGGGATCTACAGCTGAGGGAAGGATTAGAATCACTGGTTTTAGTGTTAGAATCGTTTGTAGATTGGTATTTGAGTTTCAGTAATGTTCACTCTGTGTATTAACGAATGAGAAAGACAAAGATTATATATATATATATATATATATATATATATATATATATATATATATATATATATATATATATATATATGTATATACATATCGAGTCACTTCTGGGGTGTGAGTTTTCATTCGCATATAGTCCTGGGGACCATTCAGGCTTGTTCGCATATATATATATATATATATATATATATATATATATATATATATATATGCGGAAAATCCACAGAGAAATATGAAATGAGGTGAACGTTTCGGCTCTGTTAAAGCCTTTGTCAACACCAGACTGACTAAGGAGAAGGGAGAAGGGGGAGGATATATAGGCCGACACCTGACCAACCCATCCCTAGGGTTGGTCAGGACACCTGACCAACCCTAGGGATGGGTTGGTCAGGTGTCGGCCTATATATCCTCCCCCTTCTCCCTTCTCCTTAGTCAGTCTGGTGTTGACAAAGGCTTTAACAGAGCCGAAACGTTCACCTCATTTCATATTTCTCTGTGGATTTTCCGCATAAAATGATCAGTGTTTTGTGATCGTCAATTGCATATATATATATATATATATATATATATATATATATATATATATATATATATATATATATATATATATATATATATATATATATATATATATATATATATATATATATATATATATATATATATATATATATATATATATATATATATATAAAATATAACATAATACAGGATCTCGTAGATTTTTTTTTTAATTTTGCCCCCGAGGGGGGAGTTTATTGGGCAGCGCCACTCATCCTGTGAGTGGACACACCGCCATAGTGACAGTATTGGGCAGCGCCACTCATCCTGTGAGTGGACACACCGCCATAGTGACAGTATTGGGCAGCGCCACTCATCCTGTGAGTGGACACACCGCCATAGTGACAGTATTGGGCAGCGTCACTCATCCTGTGAGTGGACACACCGCCATAGTGACAGTATTGGGCAGCGCCACTCATCCTGTGAGTGGACACACCGCCATAGTGACAGTACTGGGCAGCGCCACTCATCCTGTGAGTGGACACACCGCCATAGTGACAGTATTGGGCAGCGTCACTCATCCTGTGAGTGGACACACCGCCATAGTGACAGTATTGGGCAGCGTCACTCATCCTGTGAGTGGACACACCGCCATAGTGACAGTATTGAGCAGCGCCACTCATCCTGTGAGTGGACACACCGCCATAGTGACAGTATTGGGCAGCGCCACTCATCCTGTGAGTGGACACACCGCCATTGTGACAGTATTGGGCAGCGTCACTCATCCTGTGAGTGGACACACCACCATAGTGACAGTATTGGGCAGCACCACTCATCCTGTGAGTGGACACACCGCCATAGTGACAGTATTGGGCAGCGCCACTCATCCTGTGAGTGGACACACCACCATAGTGACAGTATTGGGCAGCACCACTCATCCTGTGAGTGGACACACCGCCATAGTGACGGTATTGGACAGCGCAACTCATCCTGTGAGTGGACACACCACCATAGTGACAGTATTGGGCAGCGCCACTCATCCTGTGAGTGGACACACCACCATAGTGACAGTATTGGGCAGCACCACTCATCCTGTGAGTGGACACACCGCCATAGTGACAGTGTAACACTGTAAGGTGTTTGGTTTAGTTTAATACATACATAGAGTACATGAGTCACAGACAGGGATTAAAGAAGGCGCCAGTTGTCTGCCTGAGATCTCACACCTCAAAGCGTTAATGACCTCAAGTGACCTGAGGTCAGATCATGAGAATTTCACCTTGCTTCCGCTAAGCTTATAATTGTAGTCTGGTAGCCTTCAAACATGCCGACGTTTAAGGAGTGGCTTGGTAGTGCCGGAGGCTATCTACTTGTGGGCGGAGTTAGTACTAGGATCCCCAATATATACTCGGAGAGCATTAAGCATTAACAAGACAGAAGAGAACAGCAGACGAGCCAGCAGAGCAGAGAAGACGTCCCTAGCAGGGAGGCTGTCGGCCGGCAGGGGCGAGACAGTCTCTGTCAAGCTACGGACCCCCCCCTCTCTATTCAACTTAGACTCAGTCCTCGGTGAGTGAACATTAAGGTGACTTGGTCGTGTTTACATATGTTGTGTGATGATCAGGGGCAGTCAAGTTGTAGGGTTCTCGAATTCTTGGATGATGACTCACTTTGAATATTAATCTTTAACATTTTAATGGGATTGCTTAAGTTATGATACTTATCATGAAAAATATAATTGTTGAATTTATGATTTAAATGGACTTTATTTTGTTCCCTAGAGATTTTGAGTTGAGGTGAGAAAGCCTCTGGGATTATTGGTTCCCTGATATTAATGAGTACATGGTTGGAGTTGATACATGATAAAGATGGGACAGATTAATAATGACCTCTTGATAACATCTCTTGAGAATTTTGTGATACAGACAAGTTCCATTCCTTGTCTTGTATGTGATGATCTAGAATGGATGGTGGCAGCATTTCGTCTTCTACTATCTACTCTTCTACTTCTACTATCTACTCTTCTACGTCTACCTATCTATGCCTCTCCCTCCACCCCTCTCTAAACTCTCACTTTCAACTAATGACCCTCCTCGCTCCTCCCACCTCCCTACCTCTCACCCCAAACCCTCACTAATTACTTCACTATTCATTTCTTTCCTTTCGTTTTCTCTTTTACGTTTGTGGCAATGATTATATATTCTAGAGTTCTCTCTAGAGTTTCGGGTAACTGATCAAGTTACGGCGCCTTGCAGTCTTAGCACCTAGGTAGTCAAATACCTAGGTTACAAGGTGTTGAACGAGAGAGGTTGCCTTAGGAACTCTGGAGGGGCTCTAGAATAGTTAGCTAACTGGGGACGGGATAACGGACTAGAGAGAGCTGTTTCCCCCCCGGCCTCGTTAGTTAACTGGGGGGTGGAATAATGGACAAGATAGAGCTATTTCCCCCACCCCCCGTTACAACAGTATTGGGCAGCGCCACTCATCCTGTGAGTGGACACACCGCCATAGTGACAGTATTGGACAGCGTCACTTATCCTGTGAGTGGACACATCGCCATAGTGACAGTATTGGGCAGCGCCACTCATCCTGTGAGTGGACACACCGCAATAGTGACAGTATTGGGCAGCGTCACTCATCTTGTGAGTGGACACACCGCCATAGTGACAGTATTGGGCAGCGTCACTCATCCTGTGAGTGGACACACCGCCATAGTGACAGTATTGGGCAGCGTCACTCATCCTGTGAGTGGACACACCGCAATAGTGACAGTATTGGGCAGCGTCACTCATCCTGTGAGTGGACACACCGCCATAGTGACAGTATTGGGCAGCGTCACTCAGCCTGCGAGTGGTCACACCGCCATAGTGACAGTATTGGGCAGCGCCACTCATCCTGTGAGTGGACACACCGCCATAGCAGCATGTACAACACTCCCCAATAGGAAGAAAACCCGCTGGGTTGTTCATCCTGTCACTTGCACCCAGACACAGCTGGGACTTGTTGAACTGTCTCAAGTGAACAGCTCCTCAAACAGGAAGATTAATATTTGTCAACCCTTAAAAGCTTACGTTATCTTGCGGGTGCAAAATGGGGGAATCTTTTTAAGAACAGTATCAATATTTGACAAATAGTGTTTTCCTAACTCAAACAATGTGGGGTTTATTATTCTACACATAATTCTGATGTCTCTCAGATGTTCACATTCTCTCAGGTAGTGGTCAAGGCGGTGTCCGTCACTCTCACCACAGATTCTGCAACTCCGCTGCTCAACTGTTATTTCCATTCCGTATCTCCATGGATATTTGTAGTCTCGCTATTACTGATTCTCTCCCTCGTCCTCCTCCTCTTCGTCCATAATGATTGGGATTGCCAGCTGCAACCATGTTGTACCATCGTACAGATTCACTGGTTTGTGCTTCTATCCTCCTTTCCTCAGTTACCTTGTCACGGTGATGTTGCCTGACAATACCTCTAATTTGTAGTAGAGTCTTGGGTATGAAGTATTCAATATGGTCTCCTTCAGCGCCTTCAGCAGCCAGCACATCTGCTCGTTCATTCCCACATATTCCAACATGGGGGGGGGCCACAGAAACTTGACGACTCTTCCGGCATTCATAACTTGCACATTCTGATGCTCAGGTAAATGTTTAGCTGTTGCACTGTAACAAACTAGGCTGTTGTAAGAATTATTCCAGAAGGTTCCAGAAGTTCGAGTAGGGACCTGACCTCTCAACAACGCCCAGTCCCCTGGGAATTAGCAGGTCTGAGTCACAAATGGCGGGCATCTTTGTTTATAGCTGCGTATAATGAACCATCCTATAGTATTCAGTAATTTAGAGAAAATTAGCCTTTATTCATTTTGCATTAACATTGTATTGTATAATAGTACTGGATACAATATCAAGAGTATTCTAATTATTGAGTTTAAGTCACCATCAGTGACGTCACGAATCAGATCTAACTTTTAAGGCGGAGTGACCGGCGGTCATAGGTCATCAGGGGTTGACAGGTCTACTATTTCTCAAAGTTTTAATAACCATTTTTGTGATCGGGAACAGCTCTGCCGTTAGATGTTTGTAATTTAATTCAGTAAAATAATTCAACCAGTCTGGATCAATTAAGTACAACAGAGGTTAATTGTTATAACTTAAACCTTGCTAGTAACTGGGTAGGACTTTGACTAGGCGGAAGGATACAATACTCTGTCTGGGGTAGTCCAGACAAGGAAAAAATCAGTGTGATCTGCCGAGCAGCTGGGAGAGGTCAAAACATCTTACCTCTCCCCAAGACCAGCCCAACACCGAGAGCTGGAAAACATAGAGGTATAGTTGCTATGGTTATGTATAGAAATAGTCTTCTCATTTGCCATTCAGGTCAAGTAGGGAGTGTTAAAGTGATAGGGAGTGAACACATTTAGATTTTGTTTTAGTTTTCTCTTAATAAATTAAATTTGTTATTAATTTGCATTTTATTGTTCCATTTGGTTATGTGTAAACTTGTCCTGGTCACGTGGTCCACACGAGGTAGAGTTGCATTGGGCGCCGATTCTAACATCGGATCGGAATTCATCATCCCCATCTAATTAATTCCACACTCAAGTTTCCGAGTTTATAAACTACTAGTGGGGATCAAGCCCCAAGGTTGATTAATTAGCGTGATCGATCCAGACCTCGATCATTGCTCTGTAGAGCTGGTCTGGTGGTGGCAGCATAGAGGCGACTCTAGGGTTTTGCTCAGAGCTTAGGTCACGTCATACTGGGTGTAGAATCCTAAGTCGGTCAATCGTCTTAGGACCACGTGGCGTGGAGTTGGCTTTGGTAAAAGTTTTGGAGTCCCTTGGTAGAGAATAAAAAGTCAGAATACGGGTAGAGGGAGTAGAAGGTAGAGAAGAGTGAGAGGAACCCGAACCAGTGTTACAGCACTTGCAAGGGGCTCCTGCCACCTGTGTTCCCCAGGGGGTGAGGGGCTCCTGCCACCTGTGTACCCCAGGGGGTGAAGGGCCCCAGAGAGCCCCAGGGGAGGCAGGAGGTCACGCAGGTTAGACTGAAATTCTGTCCGGAGTCCGTATAGTCGTCTAAGCAGAGGTATAACGTTGCAAGCCCAGCTAAAAATACCTAGAGTTTCGCCATAGCAACACGCCTGGTGGCGGTGTGAGTTGGGCTCCACACACACCCCCCTGGGTCGTGCTTCAGACCCTGGGCTCGCCTCTCTCTCTCTCTGGGGAAAATCTATAACATGTTTCCTTATTTCACTTAAGGTCCCCAAGGCTTTGGGAAAGATATTGATCTTGAAAAAGTGTGTGTGTGTGTGAACTTGAGCCAAATTCGCGCTTGGAGCATCACCTCCCCCTTCATATCTGCATAATTCTGGCTTCAGTACGAACTTGAGTGACGACCAGGTCTTCCCCGCCTCGAACTGAAGTGCGACTCTGACGCCGCAGACCTGCGCATCCCGTCCCTGCCTTCCCCCAGACGAAAGGAAAAGAATGAGGGCAAAAATGAGTGGGAAAAAATGGTAAGAGAGAGAGAGGTTCCCTTCTGCCAGGAGTGGTGGTGGTGGCTGGGACGTGGGCGGAGGCAGTATGAACTACGCATCTGGGTGGGGGACTGGGCGGGCCACGGGTGGGGTGACAGGGTGGGCCACGGGTGGGGGTGACAGGGTGGGCCACGGGTGCGGTGGGGGGACAGGGTGATGGGGGGGGGGGGAAGGAGAGAGGGGGGACATTGTTGTTGATGAGGTGGGTCTCTGGGTGTTGGTCCAGCCACCTCACACTACACCTTGCTCACAGGCAAGGTGAGGCCCTCAGGTGCATACAGTCACTATACAACACTACCAGCACCTCGGGGGTCACTATACAACACTACCAGTACCTCGGGGGTCACTATACAACACTACCAGCACCTCGGGGGTCACTATACAACACCACCTACACCCACAGGGCTCTGGGGCTCGAACTCGAACCAGTAATACGTTCGCAGACGATGTATAGCTAATGAGGAATATAATAATCCAAGTGCAGTCCTGCTTATGTGCAAAGGGCCTGGCGGCTGAGTGGACAGTGGTCGGGATTAATACATCATCTTAGAGTTGAGTGATCAAATAAACTATGAACATTTATACTGACCAAATCCGTAGGAGCACTGATGAGGGTTCGAACTTATGTTGTGGATGTTCCCACCCTCGCGCTTCTACCGACTAGACCACGACATGCTAATAAGAATTCCAACCTGGATTTCTACTGAACACAAAAGGATATCCTGAGGCATCAACTGAAGCCGGAACGAGATTTCGACACAATCCTCCCATGCACAGCCTAGCCAAAAAGGCTGGGCTCTACCAGGGCTGTGCCAGGGCTCTGCCAGGGCTGTGCCAGGGCTGTGCCAGGGCTCTACCAGGGCTGTGCCAGGGCTCTGCCAGCTAGGAGGATATTGAGCCCGGCTGGAGCTCAGATTACGGATCCCAGGCTGCGTGTATAAGCTCAGGACTTGATGGCCAGGAAGGGCGAGGAGGAGTATCAGGAGGAAGGGAAGGCGTACAGAGATCAGAAGAGCCAAGCTGTGAAGGAATAGGGGCCAAAGGGAACACGGAAGGGGGTGACGGAGGAAGAGGGGTCTATACTGGTGGCATCTTAGCATCTTAAATAGGAAATTCTCAACAGGAATCAGCCTCTGACGAGCCTTCTTGCTCGTTTAATTGTTCACCTGTTTTCTTGCTCGTTTAATTGTTTACCCGTTTACTTGTTCGCTTAAATATTCCGTTGTATACTTGAACAACTTTAGCACCATTGTAAAGCTCAGTCGGGTGGCGATGTTCAACAAATTTGAACAAGAACACTATACATGCTGTATACACAAGAACACTATACATGCTGTATACACAAGAACACTATACATGCTGTATACACAAGAACACTATACATGCTGTATACACAAGAACACTATACATGCTGTATGCACAAGAACACTATACATGCTGTATACACAAGAACACTATACATGCTGTATACACAAGAACACTATACATGCTGTATACACAAGAACACTATACATGCTGTATACACAAGAACACTATACATGCTGTATACACAAGAACACTATACATGCTGTATACACAAGAACACTATACATGCTGTATACACAAGAACACTATACATGCTGTATACACAAGAACACTATACATGCTGTATACACAAGAACACTATACATGCTGTATACACAAGAACACTATACATGCTGTATACACAAGAACACTATACATGCTGTATACACAAGAACACTATACATGCTGTATACACAAGAACACTATACATGCTGTATACACAAGAACACTATACATGCTGTATACACAAGAACACTATACATGCTGTATACACAAGAACACTATACATGCTGTATACACAAGAACACTATACATGCTGTATACACAAGAACACTATACATGCTGTATACACAAGAACACTATACATGCTGTATATACACTCTAGTATTCTGACTGAAGAACTTCATCAGGGGGGGGGGAGGGAGGAGGGGGGTACAGTGATTAATAATTTAAATGAAATATAAATAGTTTATATTGTAAATATGTCACTAGATGATACAATCATCATTTAACATAACAAGATGATGAGTATCCCACTAAATCATCATTTAACATAACAAAGATGATGAGTATCACACTAAATCATCATTTAACATAACAAAGATGATGAGTATCACACTAAATCATCATTTAACATAACAAAGATGATGAGTATCACACTAAATCATCATTTAACATAACAAAGATGATGAGTATCACACTAAATCATCATTTAACATAACAAGATGATGAGTATCACACTAAATCATCATTTAACATAACAAAGATGATGAGTATCACACTAAATCATCATTTAACATAACAAAATGATGAGTATCCCACTAAATCATCATTTAACATAAGATGATGAGTATCACACTAAATCATCATTTAACATAACAAAATGATGAGTATCCCACTAAATCATCATTTAACATAACAAAGATGATGAGTATCACACTAAATCATCATTTAACATAACAAAGATGATGAGTATCCCACTAAATCATCATTTAGCATAACAAAGATGATGAGTATCCCACTAAATCATCATTTAACATAACAAAGATGATGAGTATCACACTAAATCATCATTTAACATAACAAAGATGATGAGTATCCCACTAAATCATCATTTAACATAACAAAGATGATGAGTATCCCACTAAATCATCATTTAACATAACAAAGATGATGAGTATCACACTAAATCATCATTTAACATAACAAAGATGATGAGTATCCCACTAAATCATCATTTAACATAACAAGATGATGAGTATCCCACTAAATCATCATTTAACATAACAAGATGATGAGTATCCCACTAAATCATCATTTAACATAACAAAGATGATGAGTATCCCACTAAATCATCATTTAACATAACAAGATGATGAGTATCACACTAAATCATCATTTAACATAACAAGATGATGAGTATCCCACTAAATCATCATTTAACATAACAAAGATGATGAGTATCCCACTAAATCATCATTTAACATAACAAGATGATGAGTATCACACTAAATCATCATTTAACATAACAAGATGATGAGTATCACACTAAATCATCATTTAACATAACAAAGATGATGAGTATCCCACTAAATCATCATTTAACATAACAAAGATGATGAGTATCACACTAAATCATCATTTAACATAACAAAGATGATGAGTATCTCACTAATTCATCATTTAACATAACAAGATGATGAGTATCCCACTAAATCATCATTTAACATAACAAGATGATGAGTATCACACTAAATCATCATTTAACATAACAAAGATGATGAGTATCCCACTAAATCATCATTTAACATAACAAAGATGATGAGTATCCCACTAAATCATCATTTAACATAACAAAGATGATGAGTATCCCACTAAATCATCATTTAACATAACAAAGATGATGAGTATCCCACTAAATCATCATTTAACATAACAAAGATGATGAGTATCCCACTAAATCATCATTTAACATAACAAAGATGATGAGTATCCCACTAAATCATCATTTAACATAACAAGATGATGAGTATCCCAGTAAATCATCATTTAACATAACAAGATGATGAGTATCCCAGTAAATCATCATTTAACATAACAAAGATGATGAGTATCACACTAAATCATCATTTAACATAACAAAGATGATGAGTATCACACTAAATCATCATTTAACATAACAAAGATGATGAGTATCACACTAAATCATCGTCTCTATGACGTCCTGCTCGACTCACGACTCAATAAATTTACTAGAGAAAAAAGTTACTGAAACCAAGTATAATTTAATACATAATATTATATATAACATATATACATTAATATCTATTTCACACGAGAAGATTACGAGGCATTTTAACCTAGGTTAACTACCAACCCCAATTACTCTTGCCTTGAGGTTAGGTTGAGGTGTTTTCGGGGCTCAGTTTCCCCGCGGCCCGGTCGTCGACCAGGACTCCCTCTTAACCACACCCTGGACCATTCCGGTCCGTAGCTGAGGACTTCGTCGAATCCCGCGGTCGTTCTTAAGTGCCCGGATGTCCTCCTGGCAGTGGCTCATCCGTGGCCCTCTGGCTGGACTGTTTCTAGACCCCTGGTTCGACTCCTCTGAGGCCCCTCCCACACTGTTCGGAGTGACCACAGTTATCACCCAAGGGACAGTGCCAAACATGTCACCTCCTTACCCTTCACTGCTTGCTCTGACGAAGGACATATGTTCTCGCAATACCTGTGATCAGGTGCACTAGAGACCTACAGGTACTTTTTACAGGTTTTTACCTGATCAACCAGGCTGTGATTCATACGTCAGGCTGCGAGCAGCCGCGTCCAGTAGCCTGGTTGATCAGTCCAGCAACCAGGAGGCCTGGTCGAGGACCGAGCAGCGGGGACGTTGAGCCCTGAAATCATCGCAAGGTAGGTACCTTGGAGTCCCTATTTAGGCCCACATGGAGCTTATTCACTTATATATAGATGTGTCACATAATTAATTCAAATGGGTTGTTTTCAGGTCACAAACGTGAATGAACTTACTTATCACACCAACAACTGATTTGCGCACATCAGTTATGAACTGATTCACTGGAACAATGGACTTGGTTTTGGTACAGGAGTCTTAAAAATATTCTTCACGAGTACACATTACTGTCTTCACTTTGTGTAACGGAGTGACACAGGTAGGCCTACCTTGCTCGTTGCTGCCCTGGAGTCACCTGGGAGCAACGAGCCACCTGGGGAGGAACTGGAACCACTTGGAACCACCTGGAGCCACTTGGAGCCACCTGGAACAAACTGGAACCACTTGGAACCACCTGGAGCCACTTGGAATCACTTGCAACCACCTGGAACACCCTGGAACCACTTGCAACCACCTGGAAACACTTGCAATCACCTGGAACAACCTGGAACCACCTAAAGCC